TTCAGAAGAATCATGTGCTAACATGCACTACAAGCTGTATCCACTATCTAGTAAATAATTACTGTTAAAATTCTGAGTGAGGTAGCACTTGGAAAGCTATTTGGGATCGCGTAACACCATTATTACGTTGCACACACAACTCATGTTTCGAAAAAGAAGCAAGGCAGCTTTGTGGACACTTGCGAGTATGGCGAACAGCTTTATTCTTGTGTAAAAAATGCTTCTACAATATCTTGAGGTTATAATGACAATGCATAAAGGGTTCTAGGGCAGAAACTGAGGCTTACTCTGCCGATTAAGCTGATGTCAGATTTGCTTCAGCAGCAAAAAGTCGGATTTTTTCCTCAATGCTCACGTCAAAAAGCATCCAGAAGATAGTTGAAACCCCGTCTCTTCCGATCCAGCTGAGAAACTGCAGAATTTCTTACTCAACGCAGGTTTGTGGAGCAAGTACATGTGAGAGCATCTTCAAGGCAAAAGCAGATAATCCGTCCTTTGTGGAGGTATGACACAGCTTGACTAAAGCAGCTGTTCAACGTTCTTAGATGTGTGCCTACCTAAAAAATTTCGGAAGCTAAGAAGTGCTTTAATCAGTAAAAACTCCAGGTGGATACTCCTATAATTTTGGCTAGCCTTCAAACCTGCTTTTTTCAAAATTTCCAATTTTTTCTTGAATAATTAAACGAAAACGAGAACCGTTTTGAAGACTGATAGTAGGCTGGTAAACACACGTCTCTAGCAAATTTTGGAAAATTTCATTCACAACAGAGTGAGTTACGGCATTTTTTAGAGTGGACCTATAATTTTGGCCAGCACTGTATTCTACTCATTCACTGTAGAGACATCATGACTTCTAATTTTGGACACTTTTACGCTGAAATGTGCAGCATTAGCGAAAGTGTGCAACATCCTTGAAAACAGCAAAAATATATTGTGCGTAGGAAATTATTTTGCTGCGCCGAGCGCAATTACGGGCGATGGCATTCCGCAACGAGTAAAATATTGCCGATGACATGCTGGAGGCGAGTAGCTACCGAAAGATGAGAAAAGAGGAGTAACTACCACAAAAGGCGGAAGCGAAATGATTTTGCATAAGGGGGTTCCCTTCCCCTACTTCCAGGGGATCCCCTCCCCGTGCCTTTGTGCATACGGGGGTTCGCGTGGGGAAGGGAGGGGAGCCCCAGCGGGGATCATTTCAATGGTTAAGCGCACATCCCCTCCCCGCGGGGATGTACGGGCATACGGGCCTAAGGCGAAGCCGTGCAGTATGACAGTGAACAAAGTAGAGTGGAGAGTGCCTAACAACTTGGTATAAATGTTACTAATTGGCAATCCTGAACTGTTGTAGTCCTTGTCTTGATGGGTCGATCTGGACACAGTGGAATACTCAGTAGTTTATTAGCTGATCAGAATAGCGAATGAATCATCAGTTTTACGCCCATAACACACGCCCCTGAGAACGATGACTCGGTATTAGCCACCTAGAAAGTTCTATGAGAACGGGCGGGAAACTTATGGGAAACTGAGTTTGAAATTAATAACTGAAGAAGAGATCGAAATACAGCGGAAAGCAACTAAGACAATACAAATCAAACACATAATACATCACTTCCCAACATGAATAGTCCACACCTTGGGCTGAAAGAGCATGAGGGAGTTTGATTGAACCAGTCCAAATTGCTTAAACGAAGTGTGCTTCTCCGTGTTCCCCTCTCTCGAAGTCTAACAGTAAGCCACTGCTTTAGTGAGAACATACAGCCTATTCAAATCCAATCAGGTTGAAAGTGGAGCGATGCACGTCAGAACAACACGATTTAGTGTCACGTCTAAGGCTTGGTTGTTCGCTCTTCCTTCAATCTCTTCACTCTCAAGGCAATGCGTGTATGCAGCGCAATCCGCCAACATTTCAGTCAGTTCCTACCAAAATGGATTGACTGGCAAGCGATCTCGCTTGAAATCACTGCATCCCTCTCGCCGCAAACGTATCAAAATGAGCCATACTGCTCTTGTTTTTTGGACTTACAAAAGAAACGTTTTCCGTCGAAGTGGCCTCTTTAGATAAGACCGTTACCGCTTTGGAGAGTATTGTGCAGGAATCCAAACCCGCCTTCATTATCTGTCAAGCCACCTTGAACGCCAAGATATGGGCGTTTTTCGAGTCAAAATTCTTAGGCATTCAAATCGCCCAAATTTGCTCAAATGGTCCGCTGTCGAGTGTCAGAGCAGTTCATGCAATGGATACATTTTGTCTCATATGCTAATATTTAACGATGCTTCATCTAAGCGCTAGAACGGATGAACAATTGATTACCTACACTCTGTATTCATTTTTCACTCCAAAAAGGTCATAATTCGGCTTTCAGAGATGCTTGGCAGCTGGTGAAGGTAGATTTGGAGTCGCCGTGCAATGCTCTCCAATGTGATATGAGTCTCATTTGAAAACACCACTTCGACTAAAACGAACGCTGCCCTTGTTAGTAGAGGGGGAGGGGAGGAGCCATCAGTGAATCTCACTTTAGCAATGCCAGAAGTCAATACTAGGGCACAGAGAATGTTGCAAAAAGTATCCACAAACATGCGCCAGAGTTGACATATGTGCGCAAGGTTTATCTCGATCGGCCAACGCGTGACGCTGTCTTCGATGAACATACATAAAACTAACACACAGGCTTTTTGCTTTCGAATCCCAAAAAGTCTTTAAGTTTAGTTTTGCAAAGTTGAAACTTTCTTGATATTTGTCGTTTTCGAGTCAAGTTTTGCAGATGTCTTTGTTCAGATGTTAGGATTTTTTTAGAAGAGTTTATTATTTGCGTCATTCATCTAACGATAAGGGTTATGATTCATGATGCAAACAGGTCTACTCACATGAACGGTATAGCTCTTTACTCTTGATACTTTCGCCGACCTTTGAGTTTCATACTGAAGGACTAGCTTCACTCTAAACAGTTTGTCCCAAAAGTAAGTACACACTTTTCACTGATAGTGCCCTTTCCACAGAGCTTTCTGCATAGCTTTGAGTACCATCCGATAGAGCTGGCTTCACCTTAGTTTAGTGTGGAGCAAATCACCCATCATTCTTCATTACTGTAGAATGACGGTAGGAACTTTGAGAAGAGCTTCGAGCCATTAGTGGCTACATAATACCAAATAATTGCTACTCACTTAGCCTACAACCTCACCCCTACGCTAAACTAATTTGCTGGTCATAAGTAGGAAGTTCACTCTTTAGCAAAAAGTTTTTTTTCCACAAGTTATGCCAAGTGAACCCCAAAAACTTTTTCAGAGTTTTTCAAAGATTTGATTAAACCATTTTAAACCTCAAAAAATCCATAAGAAGTTGTTCAATAAAATCAGCTTGTCTGAAAACAAGGCAAGTTTTCTAAGTTTTTTTCAAAACTTCTTTTCCGATCACAATGGCGCTGTATGCTGTGAGTTCGTGATGTGAGATCGCAATCCTACAGTAAAAAAGAGCGATATTTGGTTCGTTCCATACTTTGAAACTAAGTTGAAGCGTGCTCTTCGATTGGTTTTTAAAGCAAAAGACTTTGTGAGAAGAGAGTATTAACGATCAAAAGTGCATATCTATCCTCATTTTACGAGTATAAAACGCAAATTTTTTGAGCGAGCCACTCGGCCGCCTCGCTTTGTCTCGGAAAACGGAACTTATTTTGCACGGCATTCTCATGCAATACGCAGACCTGTACAGGGTTCTTTGCTCGCGAAGTGCTTTGGTGTTTTCAGGCTGTCGAATTTATGAAATAAACAGGTGCGTCCTGTATCCGTAAAACTAGGTTACTTTTAAGACACCCTGTATTTACATTTAAAGAAATCGCCGTTCCCTGTTCATTACTTTGGATTCTACAATCTAATGTAGTGTGCTGCCTAATCACTGGAATGCCCAATGTTTTGCCCATTCAGGTTGCTATTGCGACAAGCCATAAACAATTGAAGTAGATGTCACTTGAGATGTGCAGAACCTTAAGGAGCTTCGAGACCTTGAAGGCAGTGGATCAGCAGAATGGACCTCTGTCAGATTTTGGTAGTGTTAGGTAATAGACCCCCCGAATACACCGTAGCCCCAATTCCACCCTCCATTTTAAGCTCTAAGTTCTGTAATGGGGATTCAAAATTCCACCAGCGCCGTCCACTTCCATTGAGTAAGCGTCATTGGTGGAGTTTTGATACGTTCTTCAGAACTTAGCGCATGAATTGGAGGGTGGAATTGGGGCTACGGTGTATTTGAGGGATCTACTACCTATCACTACCAAAATGTGGCAGAGGTCCATTCTGCTGATCCACTGCCTTTAATGGTTGTAGATGCAGCCGCGACTAAGTACAATAAACATCGAGCTTTGAAGGGGGGGGGGTGGGTCAAACTGTTGTCCAATGGGTCAAACTGTTGTCTTACTGTTGTCTCTGTTGTCTTTGTTAGTGCGCGGGTCGAATTTTCTATGATTGATCTATCGTTTCACTAATTTTGCATAGCTCTGTCTTGTTTCTTCCATGCAGCCTGGTTTTGAAGAACGACTGTATGCAAAATCATGGACTTAAGACCTTTTCGCATTGATGGCAGATGCGCGAAATGAATACATCTAGGATGAGGTTTCAAAGTGCACCTTCTTTGCAGTTTTATAAACTCGCCCAAATTACCCTTCTTACGAGTGATCCAGACTGGAATAGATGCGATAATCAAAAGCATCCTGCAACTTCATGATGATGCATAGTCTCAAGCATGTATAGAATCCGCATCAATCAGCTACAATGAATATGATACTTAAGAGTTGTTACGTAACATGATGTTCTTTGCCCTTTCCTTCTTCTACATTTCATTTGCGCTCATATCGTTTCATATCTATTGTAGTCTAAGCAGCTACTACCTCTCCTTTGTAGCTGGCAAAGGACTATGATTAGAAGGTTGTTTGGGTATGTGATGCATTATACACATCATAGTTGTAAAATCACAAACTGGTAAAGTGTTTTAATTGATACTGTTAACATTGCCGCATAATTCTCGCACATTGTCTGGAGACTTCCAGCCAAATTTCAAGGACTGGGTGTTATGTCCTTATAGTCGTGGCGGTACCCTTGCTCCCTGATGCGCTTGCTCTGTAATAAAACTTAATTGGTGGCCGAAAAGGATCTTTTCTTGTAATTGTGGTTGAAAAGTATCGGATAATAATCACCTTTGGTTGCGTAAAATAGTCATACATGATCAAAACGCTGACAATAACAGTTAGAGTGGCAACAAAGACCAAACCCTTGCGAGTTTTCTTATTCATCTTGACTGCAAAGTACAAATGAAGCTCACTCACGTGCACTGCAAGTTGTAATGATAAATGAGATATAGAAACTTGAAACTCGATCAAAACGAGTCCAACACGAGCTAACTCAGACACTCGCCAATAACTCCCGCAAAGATCCACCCCCAAAATAGGCAGTCGCACCAACATCCGCTGCACCGGCGGGAGTCATCATTTTAGTTTTGTCCCGATTTTGGTGCGATCTTGTTCCGAAGCGAGGGCGAGTGTTTAAAGTGGCTGCATGCCAATTTTACCTAGGAGAAAGCCCATAATTTGCTTCGGAATGGTGCGTGACAGCTAGGAATAGCATATTTGGAATCAGCTTTGAAGCTGATTCAGACTATACATGTCCCTTGTCAACTTGTCAAAAGGCCGAGCTAAGTTAGATAGCTTCCCTTGTGAGTTTATTCTGTTTTACCGCCGAAATCCTGAGCTTTATCACAGCTACTTCTCTAGCGTTAGTTGCATTTTCAACTCATCTTTTAAGGAAGCTCTCTCTTTTTCGCTCTCATTCTGTTACACATAAGCAAGGCTTATCATAACTGCTGCACCCTAGGTAAGTGCAAGTTTTTTGTAAATGGGGTGTACGGTACTCATAGCCGACAGTGTTAAATTCATGCTCACCCCGCACGCGTTTTTTTTTTGAGGTGGAAACTCTTCATAACAGTGTGATCTTGATAGCGACAAAACGTGCTCATAAGCACGACTATTCTCACCACCGTTGTTTTTATCAGAAGAGGACGACGCTGTCGCAAAAATTCTTTCAACTTTCGGAGGCAGGGGTGGTCATGCAAAAATAGCAATAGGGAGAGCACTCTGAGTTTTCTCACACAGTAGCGATATTTTTGAACCGTACTTTTGCGGCGCAGACATGCGCACTTGCCATTTCGACCCTAAAAATGCTGCCATTCTTCCGTCAAAGGTGATCCATTGTTTTATATGATCACTGGTATCAATAATCTTCTATTCAAAAAAGGTGTCGTCATCGAAGGTGTCGAAGACAGCAGTATTACTAAGGAACTAGTGATTGAGAAGACTGAATTCGTTGAAGATGGAGTTCAAGAGACCAAGGTAGTTTGATGATATTGTCTACATTTTAGTTTTTGCTGTATCTGTCTCGTAACCTTGTGTCGCATTTGTATAGCTCCTGGATCTTACTTGCTGCTTTTTATGCATTTCATCTCGATTCTTGCAAAGCCTGCTCGAGAAGATTATGTGGTATTTGTTAATTAATTTCATGACGTTGACTGGGTTTTACGAGCAAAAAATAACAGGCGTAAGGAATGAGACCCAAAGAGATCAAAGGCACAAGGTAAGTGAAGAGGGAGGCGCAACAGAAGACATAGAGGACGCAAAAATTTGTTTTATAAGAGCGTAGACCGCAGGCTCGGAAAGCGATCTGGGCATTATGGTGTCTCCCGCAGGTTTAGATTTTGTCTGAAATGTGTCGGTCGGAACACTTGATTTTGTCGCGCACTTTTGACCCAAAACAAAATAAGGTGTCCTGATGTTGTTCCGACACCAACTTCGGGTCGCTCCGGCATTCCGTGACTACACTTCAATTTGTCCTGCTCGAGTCAGCTGAGAATGTCTGTACATACTGAGAACTGCTGTTCACATATATGGATTGTGATTTACTTTCAGTTTTTCGTACTCAACAGTCAAATCGCTTTGTTTGCTAAGCTGATCTTGTATCGTCCATTCCCCCCATAGTCAGCAGGCGGAGCTTTGCCGACGTTTGCCAAAATATGCGCGTGACAGTTCTTGATAGCTAGAGAGTACAAAAACTATTGCTTTGAACACTTGCTGCAGTTTGCTATTATTTTTTGAGGATTTTGTTAAAAGTCTGCCCCTGTTAAGGTGCTTTCCATTCAAAAATTATTTCACCTTAGAAGCGCCATATTATCGCGGCTACAAAGCGCGAGCTGCAAGTTACAGTTTCCGTTTCCCAAGCTGCGATATCATCTGAGTTGATCTTTTACAGAATTTAATGCACCATCGTCACGTCAACAACTTGGAGCGGTGATGGGATTCAAGATATCGAGATCAGTGCAACAGCTTCAAGCCGTCGGACGGCATCATCCTGCATCACGTTTTCTCTTGATCATTTTTGATAGAACTGCGCCTTATTGTATTTTGGGAGTGCATCATTTTTGATAGAGAATTGCGCCTTATTGTATTTTGGAAACTACGCCTTTTATGCCGCCTAAAAAAGAACATCTTGGAAGCTTAGTCCTTTGCACGCCAGTATGAGAAAAAAATTCCTAGGACTAAGCTCCTAGCACGCCTTTGACAAAATACTCAATTAGCTAAAGCAATATGTTGAAAGTCAATTTTGAGATGCGCCAAAGAAAATGATAGATCGAGCTTTCACTAGTGTAGTAGCTGTATGTTATTTGTTATATTGGGTCGTCGTATTTTTTCATAAAATATTGGTGAAAGACAGGGTTTAATCACCCAAGTTTGAGGTTTCCGACAATAAAGTGGTCGAGTGGTTGGTGTTGGTGAACAGTGTGAACCACCGAGCAGATTTACATATCATTTTCTTATACTTGAGTGCTATAATGCAATCATCTCATCATTCTAGGTCGTCAATTGGGCTTGTGAGCGCTGTGAATAATTGAAATCTGATAGAAAGAAATTTGATATGTTCTCCATAAAAACACATTGAAAGCCAATTGGTCAGTCGTGACGAAATTTGTCTTGGATAACAAATCGACGTTTACATTGTATATTTATCTTACCAATGCCTTCTTCTCCTTCGTAGAAATTCGCACTAGATTTGCTATCCACATGGCTCCTAACTGCATGTATTGAAAGTATGCTTTGAAGTCAGCTAAAGCCGATGGTAGTTCTACGTTTCGCCTAACCATCTGAGACTGCTATAATGCTGCCGAGCTTGACAGTTGAGTGTAAGGAACTAATCGTCTCGAACGCTTTGTCATAAGAGCTTTTTTATCAGAAAAAAGAGAAAATATCTATAAAACAAGTGAAAATTGGAACATATAGGCTGTACCAAGCACCATTGGTCGGTCCTGCGCTGGTATGCCTTACGAGGACGCTTCGTCACACGCAAACCCCTTTACGCGTAAAGGCTGCTGCAGGACGAAGGCGCAGAAGCAGTATAGGTTGAGCGGGTGCGAACGCGGCGCGCGCATATCTTCACCGTTGTAAACCTTACGTTCAATGTGCTTAGCGGCTAATAGAGCCGCGTTTGCGCCCCAACGATATTGCGCCTTCGTCGAGTAGAAGCCTATCCTGTATAGCAGTGTTCGCATGCGACAAACCGCACCTCGCAAGTTGCCGCCGGCGCGACGTCGCATGACCGATGCTGGTTGATACAGCCTATAATTCTAGTACAAAAATCAATGGTTTACCCTCCCCTCGTTTGCTTTTCTTTTGTTTTATTCCTCGCACTGCCTTTCCCTTTCCGCCTTCCAACGCCTGCTTCAAATCTGCTTTGAGGCTCTTATTTTTCGCTCATTTCGCTCATTTCTGTGGTGATTTGTCTTCCTTTCTGGGCTTCCTCGCTTCGCAATATCGCAGTCTTTTCACTAGAACGAAGAGCGTTACAGCCATGACTGCATGTTGTGTGGGGGAATTATGAAGAGAATCATTTCAGTAGTGGTTTGCCGGATGTTTGCGTTTGTGTGTGCGTCTGTCTGAATCTTTGTCTGTCACGATTTCATAGCAACTTTCAGCAAAGCTCCCGAGAGAATTTTGTACATAGCACCCTATCAGCTGTTGGTCTACTAAGCGCAAGCGGATTCCGACGGGCGACACCTTTGAAAGCCATAGGTCAAATGGGTACATGAGTTTTTAGCTCACGAAGTTAGGTTTTTATCTAAACTTTTTGCAAGGTTATGGATGTGCAAGACATGTGCATATTCAAGTCATTGAAATCAGCATAAAAACAATCAAAATTCATATTGATTCGCGAAAACGGCGCCATGAAAGAATTGTTTGCGTAAATGTTGGATTAGTAAAGGTTTCAAATGCGACTTTAAGAAGATTCTTGCTTGAAAATATAGCTCACGGTAATCAATTTCATTATTGCAACTATTACATCATAATAAGTGCGGTATCCAATTCAAATGCGCATTTACTCTTTGGCACAAACGTTTCCTCCTCCCGAAGTTATCAATCTTGCTTGGAGGTGCTTTTTGGAGTATGAGTAGTTAGACTCATTCGTAATAGCTAGCATTGCGCGATAAGTTTTGAAGCCTTCATCAGGGTGATTGCATGGGAGCAAAACTGCAGCAAAGGCTTAACCTTCGTTTTTGGGGAGAAAAAGCAAAGGGGATATCGTTCTTGTGACCAAAATTTGCGAATTTTTTTTAGTCAACGTTTCGTTTTTTGGCGTTTTACGTTTAGGGTTGAGAGTCAGCGGGGACTGTAAAATTTTGCAAAAGTCAAGGGAGACTTCGTTTTCAAGAAGCCTAGAAACGAACTCATAGATCACTGTGCAAGTCCGAGGAAGGTCTAGATAGCAGAACCAGTGCAAACTTCTCTGAAGTAGAGGTGGCGCACTGGTAATTGATAAGCTTTCACTGAGTCGACGAAGTAATAGATCGAAGGAGAGTCTCAGTATGTTGACTCAAAAAGTAGCCAATAATCATTGTCTGCTATATCGTAGTCTCTAAGCATATTAGTCCATCTTTACAAATGCTACCTCTCAAAGGATCGCTGATACCATTGTGCCAAGCAAAGCAGATATCATAATGCCTTTCTCAAAGAAGAACGCTACCCTTACTGAGCGGGAACGACCTTGCAAGATTCGCTTGCTGTTTTAGTATGTCCATAACTGGAAATCCTTCTATCAATAAGAGAAGCTCCTTCTTATAAATAATGTCTTGTCAGAATTCACGCTTTTTTTGTGATAACTGCTCCTAGAAAGAAAAGTTGGAAAGTTTTTTGCAAAGTTTTCGTAATTTTGTTCCCATTGACGATCTTTTGTTTACCTCCGAGGCCTGTTTGAGGTATCC